AACCGCTTAATATGAAGTAATTGCAGTGTTAAGTTTGGTATTCATATTAAATTCTCTATAGGAAACTTTGGATATAATGACTCCGTTTAAAATGACAAATCGTTTATTATCACTGTTTCCAAAGTGACCCAAATGGTTAATAATAACATTTTCGCTCATTTTTCTGACCCTTCCCACTCCTTCTTCTGCATTATTGATTTCTTATGAAAAAAATGACAAAATGTGTTATGTATATTAATATTACAATTAATCGTTCTTTTTCTTTTTCTGTTAATAAATATATACTATTTGTAGTTTTCTTTCTATTAAACTAAATAACTAACCAAAATAGAAAGTGGTTTATTTTCTAAGACTATGCTTTGTATGACGCCCGCTTAGTATGACGTGCTTGTCATTTCCCTTCGATGTCATTATAAGCGGATTCTACTGTATATGAATTGTAGAAATAGGCAATTTGAGCAAAGCATATGCATATAGAAGAACACTATTCATAAAACGCCGACCGTGATAGCCTTTTGTTATTGAATTTTTTTGAGAATGGCTCAGTAACTAAGCAACTATGGGAGTATTCTTAAAATAAATCGTTAAAGTATTATATAGTATTGGATTTATTATTATGAAGTCTTTCGATTACTTCTACCGTTCAGATAGATAATAATTGTTAGTTTGGGTTACTGAGTATCATACGACTGGAGACATACTCTTATTAAAAATAAAAGACTCAATTTCCTATTAATTTTAAATACCCATCAAATAGCTTTAATGTAGAAAAAAGCATTCTCGATATATTCAGACAAATAAAGGACGTTGGATGTGTACGATCATCAATAAAACAGAATCCATGTTGAAAAAATGGTCCCTCTTAGTATGTGTCACATAATAATTGTTTAATTAACGAAAGTAAACTAGATAGAACACTTGTTTCCTAATGGTTTAAGCTAATTATTATTAGTAACTATTTATTGTTAATTAATTAAGGTTATTACCAAGATACATATGCTAATCATTCTCCCAGGTCTGTATTTAATTAATCAGCCTTGCTAATTTAATTATTATCTGGTGGTACTTAGNTTAGTAACTATTTATTGTTAATTAATTAAGGTTATTACCAAGATACATATGCTAATCATTCTCCCAGGTCTGTATTTAATTAATCAGCCTTGCTAATTTAATTATTATCTGGTGGTACTTAGGGAATCGATAATTACATGTGTACGATATATCTGTACAGGTAATTAAGATCATTATATTTCGATTGTTTTTATCTACTTTTTGGATAATTCCAAAAACTTTGTATGCATTATTAATTATTCTCTCTGTCTAATAATAGTTTTATGAATAGTTACAATCATGTCCAAATTATCCATTAATCAAATTTTTCGTTTAGTTCGGCGAACATGGATCTGGATTTAGTTCTAAGGGAGAAGTTCAAGATTTTTACTCCCTTCGAGACCAGCATGTCGAAAATGGCACATTGTTTGAAGATCCCGAATTTCCTGCAGATGACTCTTCGTTGTTTTACAGCCAAAGACCCGATAGATATTATGAATGGAAAAGGCCTGGAGTAAGTTTGACGATGAGTATAATATTTTATGCAATACAATTTTCTAAAAAACTAATTTCAAGAAATATAATACCTAAGTAGTCCTTATAGAAAATGAATCAGACTCCTAATGATCAAACTCTAACAATAATATATATGTACACATACAGGGTGTAACACTGTGGGTACAAAAATACTATGTACTGAGAAGTGATCATAGTTTTCTTTACTTGACTTTAAAAAAGATAATTTAATATTTAATAATTAATAACTTCGTATTTAATAAAATAAGTTAATCTCAGTGTATATCGTGTTAATAATAAATCCCTGATGGCTTATAGTGAGCATTTGAAAAGCTCCACTTTTGTCTAGGTAATATTCAAAGGGGTGTATATTTCTTATGCTGGATGGACAATTACTGTTTTTTTGTCAATTGTTCTTTGTATCCCTATAGAGAAAATGCAGAAATAGAACGCTTTTGATTTGCTATATTCAATTTGCTTTTAGTTTTATATAAATTAATACAGTAAAATATGATTAATATTGAAAAACAGTCTAACAGTCAGGGGCGGACTAAGGCCTAGGCACGTGCCTAGGGCCCGTAATTTTTGAAGCCCGATAATTAGGTATATTGCATATACCAATGATAAAAAACGGCAAAAAATACAAAAACTATTTCATGATGAAATTCCAGAACATGAAATAAGATTCAGTGGCAAAGAACATTTTAAAGTTAATATTTTTTTTGTTGTATGCGATTCTTTAAATTGGCAACATTAGATCTGAAGGATATAAAACTGATAACGATAAATTCAAAACAATTTTTTATGATAGGGATGTTAGTGACTGAATGTTATGAATAAGATTTAAACCTAGCAGAACCGAAAAATGAAGTATTATAATTTAAGACTTTTATTAGTTATGACAATATGATTTCGGCTGTATCCATGTGGTCATTTATTCAGGAAAATAATATTATTGCAACATTCCCTAATTTTAACATAATTTTGAGAATTTATTTAACCCTTCCAATAATCAGTGCAAGCGGTGAAAGATCATTCTCAGTAATGGTCAGAATAAAAAATTTTTTAAGATCCATCCACATTAGGCCAACAAAAATTAAATAGTTTATTCTTACTTTACATAGAAAAAGAGTTATTAAATAACTCTATTAATTATAACAAACTAATTGACAACTTTGCAGGATTAAAAGTGAGAAAAAAGGCAATATAACTAATCAATCTGGGTATATTTGTTTAAGTATTATTGTTTGTTTTAATAAATTATGTTTATTTGATTTTTGTACATGTATATAATTTTTTTCATTTTTTTCTTGGAATCCAATAATTAAATAGAACTAAATACCATATGCTTTAAAACCAAACTACCAAACGCAAAGTATGTGTCATGACTGAAAAATAGGTCCAGAATTACAATGTTGCTTAGGGCCCGCTGTAGGCTTAGTCTGCCACTGCAGACAGTTGAATTTTTTGCTCGAAATAGAAGCAAATTAATAGTTCTTAAAAGTAAAAATATAGAAATGTAGAAATAATTCCGTTCAATTTAGTATCCTGTAAGTTACAATTAAATGATGTATTATAAATTAAATATTGATTTTAAGGAAATTGTGGACAACCCCCAGCTGTTTGTGGAAGGTTATTCGAGATTTGACGTTCAACAAGGCGAATTAGGGGACTGTTGGTTACTCGCAGCTGTCGCCAACATTACTTTGTATAGACGTTTGTTTTTCCAAATTGTTCCTGATGATCAAGGATTTGATGAAAAATATGCGGGCATATTTCACTTTAGGTACTGTTTAAAAAGTGTCTTCAAAAGCTTTTTAATTACATAAAACAATATTTTAGATTTTGGCAGTACGGTAAATGGATAGATGTGGTGATAGACGACAGGCTTCCCACATATAGGGGTCAACTGATTTATCTTCACTCAACGGAAGAAAATGAATTTTGGAGTGCCTTATTGGAAAAAGCATATGCCAAGTAAGTTTCATAAAAATCTCTTAAGTGCATTAGGAGTAAAATTTTAACATGCAACGGAAGCGAGCGCGTAGAAGGCAACGAAAGTTGCGCGCGCATAGCTAACGAAAATTCAACAGGATGAAGTTAGCAGCGTGAGTTAGCTAGCAGCTAACCTACACCTACACATACCATTTTTTCATTTCTAACGCGCTCGCAATTTTTATATATTTTTACCTATAATAATAACTGAAACTTTTGCTTTATTCTGCATATATACTGTTTTAAATTTTAATTATTAGGTTGCATGGTTCATATGAAGCCCTTAAGGGAGGTTCAACTTGTGAAGCTATGGAAGATTTCACTGGTGGTGTCACAGAAATGTACGAGATGGAAGCAACACCCCCCAACCTCTTCAAAATAATGATCAAAGCTTATGAGAGAGGTTCATTAATGGGTTGTTCCATTGAGGTAAGGTTTTTTTTCACGTCATTTTAAAAAGAGTTACAAATATTAATTGCAAACTTAATTTTAAAGCCCGATCCACGTGTACTAGAAGCCCAAACACCAGAGGGGCTTATTAAAGGCCATGCCTACAGTATAACAAGGGTGAAATTTGTAGACATCCATACGCCAAATACAGCTGGTAAAATACCTCTTCTAAGACTTAGGAATCCTTGGGGTAACGAAAGCGAATGGAATGGTGCATGGAGTGACAAGTGAGTGTTTTAAAATCAAAACATTTAATTTTTGAATTTAATGTTAGAAAAGGCTCGAGGAAAATATTCAAGTATTCCAAAAAATACTCATTTATAGATCTCCAGAATGGCGGTTTATTCCAGAACACGAGAAGGAGGATCTAGGTTTGACCTTCGATGATGATGGCGAGTTCTGGATGTCATTTAAGGACTTCCAGGAACATTTCACCCGTTTGGAAATTTGCAACTTAAGTCCAGATTCGTTGAGTGAAGAAGAGCTGATGGAAGGACACAAGAAGAAATGGGAAATGTCCGTGTTTGAAGGTGAATGGGTGAGAGGAGTTACTGCTGGTGGTTGCAGAAATTTCTTAGGTAATTTCACTTTTTTTGCTAGTGGTACCCACAAAGAATATATTGTTCATTAAACTAGTAGTCTTTACATCAAACCTGAAAAACATTATGCTACATGTGCGAAATCAAAAAAAAAGTATGTCGTTTTACCCAGTAATTATTTTTTTTATTAATATTTACATTACTTGGGTGAAGTCATTCCACTTTTGCTGTTTTGTTCTGATATGTTAACTAAATATTATAAGTATTTCACTACGTGATTTTATTCTTACACACATAAATGTTACTTTCAGAGACATTTTGGCATAATCCGCAGTACCGCATCACTCTTACTGAAGTGGACGAAGGGGATGACGAATCTAAGTGTACCGTAATTATCGCCTTAATGCAGAAGAATATGAGATCAAAACGAGTTATGGGAGTGGATTTGTTAACCGTTGGATTTGCCGTATACTATGTAAGTGTTCAATAGGACCGACGGATGTGTATGGTCATAAAAATAAAAAAATCCTGAGTGGATAATGTTCCATTTCTTCCTCTTAGTTTATGACAATAACAAGAAATCCAAGTTTATTTTAATAAATCTTTTTACTGTTATAAATCTTTTTGCTCCTGTTTTGGCTCTGATTTCTTATTATTATATTGAGTGGATATTTACGTATACTGATTTTTTTTAAAAATTATTCGTTTTAAACCTATAAGTTGCTAAACAAACTGGGTGGTGAGGCTTGTCTACCTACTAGTACTTGTTTGGTCTTGGATGACTCTAGTGTTGAACGAATCGTTTAGTATGTTTGTGTCAACATATACTATTGATTTCCATTATATACACAATAGTCATATCGTGTGTTTTATCAGTAATATTGGTTAGTGGTACTATAAATTATCACAGTAAATTTTATTAATTGATTACCGTGCACTCTACCACCAGTTAGTAATAATAATCAGTGGGACTGATAGTAGTACATAGCAGAATGTGGCTTTAGTTTTTAGTTATTTTTTTTTTAATATCAACTCACTGATATTATTATTTCTTTAATTTCAGTTGCCTTATCCGGACAGAGTGCCTAAACCTCTAGACTTAAACTTTTTCAAATACAACGCATCGGTGGCGAGATCGCCGTCCTTTATAAACTTGAGAGAAGTCAGCTGTCGTTTTAAGCTTCCACCTGGTACCTACTGTATAGTGCCTTCGACCTTTGATCCCGACGAGGAGGGCGAGTTCTTGCTCAGGGTCTTTTCCGAGCACAAAAACAACATGGAGTACGGTTACAATGATTCTCATTCTCATGACGGTTCGAGCGGCTACGGTGGTAGTACTTATGGCGGTAGCAATTATGGGGGTAGTAATTACGGAGGTAGCAATTATGGGGGTAGCAATTACGGGGGAAGCAGTTACGGAGGTAGTAATTACGGCGGAAGTAATTACGGAGGTAGCAATTACGGAGGTAATAACTATGGCGGCAGTAATTACAGTCACTATAGCAGTAACTACTCAGCTCCGCCACTTCCCGGAGTACCTCGTGTCATGCCCCAGCCTGGGTACAGTAACTACGCACCTGCTCCACCCCTTCCTCAACACAATTATCCTAGTTACGCTGCTCCTCCTCCTGTGCCGCACAACTATAACACGTACGCAGCACCGCCTCCCTTACCGCAAACACCTTATAACAGGTTTTCGTCTCCGCCTTATCCACCTGATAACAGGCGGAACGACGGTAGAGGAGGGGGAGGTTATGGTTTTAACTTTTAAATGACTAACATACGTCTTTAGCATTTCTGATGCCACCTAGTGGGTTTGGTACGTACTGGAAGATGTAAGACTTGAAAGACAGATGATATTTGAAATATTTACTTAAACTGCTATGTTGTTACAAAAGTTGAAAATAAAAATTAAAATATATATTCGCTAATAAACGGTAGGTATTTGCAGAGTAAAAATTTTATGTACTTATTGTTAATCAAACCAAAAAAAGTTTTTGAAAATATTCTACTCTTGCCTGGCAACTGCAATTGGTGAAAAAAATATGTTGAACATTTACTGCGTACACATATATTGTTACTATTGTTACTACTACCATAGCCTGCTCGTTGTAAATTCAATTTGAAATTTTAATCACAAAATTTTTCCAACATAAATTACATGTAGGTATCTGCAGTTAATTTTGTTTCTGATATTACAATTGATGTACAAAGTATATTTAGGTTACTGATGTACACTATTAATCAAAACTAACGTTAATTATAACTTATTACGTTTGTAACAAATATTTAACGTTTTTTAAAACAACTTTCTAGTATTTTCCCATTTTCCATACATATAGTAGACGTGAAATGTTCAGAATGTATGCAGGGTGTTTTTACGTTCGTTTTATTATTTTTTTCATTTTAATTATGTGCACGGTGCACATATCTGACAGAATGTTTGTTAAAGTAAAAGACAAGGTAGGTTAATGTTTTTCTACTTGACATATGCCTACAGAGAATTTTAGTAGGTAAAAATGAAATGGGTATGGGCATCCTGTATTTCAGCATTATTTTTTTTATTTACCTAGAGGCAAGGAAACATATTACAGCTTCTCCAAAATGTAGTAGCCTTCTTCAGTTTGAAGACTTTTGATTTAAATTTTGCATTTAATAAATATAAATCGAACAGTCTTCTTATAATAGCCAGACGGTTTTTGTAGCCCCTGTGCATTCTTAATTTATTTATCTCAAAGTTAAATGTTATTGAAGCATTAGTATTACAAAATAAGTTACTTTTATTCCGTTTTGTGTACATAATAGCCATCCAACACTGTGCACTCTCTTCATCACACTGTACACATTGCATCTAAACTCTTTTTGGTTAATTAGAGATAATTATGAACATATAACGTTACTAACTCAGAATTATTTATTTTAATGTGACAATGTTATTGCTCTAAACAACTAATTTATGAAAAAAAAAAACAAAAGTACGTTTTTCGTTTGTGTTGGCTTATGTTATGTTATGAGTTTGTTATTGCTGTTTTTTTATTAATTGTTAATTTTAGAACTGTTTAGGCCGAGTGTACAATGTATACATGGTGAAGGAACAAAAACGGTTAAATAAATAAACAATTATATTTAAGCAAAATCGTAACATATTTATTTTAACCTGTGATCGTTTTTTAACGCATCCCCTTGATAAAAAAAGATGGGTCTGATTAGAGCCCTCTTTTGTTTTCAGAGAGAACGATGAACAAGTTGGGCTCGGAGAAGTGGACACTAGGGTATGACATGGCTTTGTGTTTCTTTTTTTGTTTTGATTGAATTGTTTGGCTTTTTTCATTATAATCTGAAAATTATGGTAGATTTTCAGAATATTTAATGTGAGTCATTGCGTCTGCATTTTTTCATTGAATGTGGTTTTGGTTACTTCAAAATTACAAATAGTCCAAAAAAATATTTCATTTTTGATTAAATATGTACCCTACAGTACGGGGGGAGGGGGTAATTTCACCTACAATGAACTGATTTTTTTAATTTATTACAGAATTAAAATTATGATCATGAAGATGTTATGTTTTCATAAAATAATTTTTAGCATAAGACTTTTAAATGTGGTAGATACGTACCTAAAAATTTAAAAGTTGTGCCTAACCTTTACATAACGTAGTGTACGTTGAAGTGAAGTACTTTTATTATTTGGTGACAGGTAAAGAATCAAGAACCTAGTCCAGAAGAGGAGCAAATAGCAGACAGAGTGAAGGACTACTTTTTGAAACTTGCAGGAGAAGATATGGAAGTAGACTGGCTCGAATTAAAAGACATTTTAGATTACGCAATGAGTGAGGGTAAGCAATTATGATTAAATTACATTTATTCAAGTTATAGGAAAGTTTTGTTATGCTGCATTACCTTAATTACTTCCAAACATAGTTTTAAACTTAATCTAGTTTTGTTTACTGCTTGTTTCTACTTTTCATACATTTATCTGTTCGTCTATCTACTCATCACTCGCATCAATAACATTTGAACAGGTCATAAACAGCGTTATTAGGATAGCTGTTGGTTGAAACTGACCACCCCTGTTTATTTTCTTATCGTTTCCATACTTCTGTGTTTATTATATACAATAATAGTCGAATTAGACTTTGAACAAAAGTAGATAGAGTACCTTCGTCCCAAACCTTACAACAGCTAATTGCCATGACGTCATAGTACACGTGGAAGGGGTACAGTTGAATGAAAAGTATGAAAATGAAGGTATCCTATCCACTAACAAACATAAAATCCTTTTAGAATATCTTTCCCTAAAATATCTATCAGAATACGGTTAAGCAGGTGCAGAAAATTTGTGATTAATAAGTTATTGTTGTAAAAGCTTTTTTTAAAAGTGAAAGTTTTATTACATCGCCTCAAATTTTTTCGTCCATCTATTGCTTGTCGCATTACAGCCGGCCGCGGAGTAGGGGTAAAACCTAGTGGAGCTCGGCAGAACAGTCAAGGCCAATATATCGGCGCCCATGGTTCGCATGAGCTAACCGTGTAGCATTTATATTCTCACTCATTCGTGCAAGTGCATGACTTTTAGACTCTGAAACTCAAAGCGAACATGAAATTATTAAGAATAGATAGAATAACTGAAGTTCAAAATTATTCAATTATTTAAATAAATATTGTAATCAGTTTTTAACATGCGTCTATCATCTAAATGATTGTATTTATTATGTATTCCGTACTCTCATACTCAGATTGAAATTAAAATTTATAATTTGATATTTTATCTACTATTGAATTCCCATTATCATTTCTATTTTCCAATCATCAAGATATTAAGAACACGATTTTAATTGCAATACCCTAAATCGAATAATTTTCCGAAAATTTACAGTTAAATGCCTACAATCTGAAAAGTTTCACTTGCATCGTGGTTTCATAAAACCACACATTTTTTTTTTAATTATATGAGAAAACTAATATGTTTAGTAAAAAATGGTAAATACAAAATTCTTAGAGACTAAGATGACGAAGAGAATGCCACATTGGTTCATCCTTTCAAAAGTAAATCGAGAATACGTTGTTTTGGAATTGTTAAAAACTACAAATCTTTTAGATACCTATTTAAAATTGTGAGATGACTATTGTGTTTCATGGGTTTGATGGAACATTCTGTAAATAGATTTTGTATAATACCTTTTTCGAAACAGCGTTTGTACGTCAGAAGGGTTGGAGGGACAATTTGGTATAAGCTTAGTGGTCAGAGTATTAATGCGTAAAGCCGAAGGTCCCGGGATCGATTCCCGGCAAGGGTGTGACAACAACAATTTTCCCCTCATTAACCTGAGATGGTTTATAGTGGATAAAAAATTGAAAATGAATTTTCACATTAATATTTACTACAAATAGATTTTTTCGATCACGTTCGCAAACGTGGTCCTCTTTTAAACATTGTCAGTAGTGAAATACAATTTGATCATTTTTATTACATTCTCATTGTGAAATCAATATGCACTGGAATCCTCTACTTATTTACCATTTTGCATTTTATGGTTACGCTTAATGTATTGTAGTTTTGTCTTGTTATTACTGTAGAATTACCAACTAGTAAAGCCGAGTTTAATGCTGTTGAGTCAGGCATTCAAAGGCCAAATCAAACTCAAAATGAAGGGGGTAGTAACATTTTAACAACCTTATTAGGATTATTATGCGCCCGCTTTTGTAAAGATACCCCTTTGGCTGAAATAATTCCGAACCCTGATACAACTACCACTGTGCACACCACGTCCTTTAATCGTTACGGTAGGTGAAAAATCTGAGAGTTCTAAGCATGTGTTGAAAATTTTGTTATGACTAATCATAGTAAGTGTATAGTCAGTGGTGTAAATAGAGGAGTAGCGGCTCCCTCCGGATGGCCTCACTCAAAAAGGAGCTTTTAAATTTTACCACTAATGCTTCTTGTTATAAGTAATACTAGTTACTCCACTGTGTATACTATGGATGTTTGCACGTATGGGCCTTTTACTGTAGGTACAACAACTAGTTATTAAACTGAACTTGTATATAAGGAATTATGTGCATGCGATTTAATATTGTAATGTTCGTGGGTTTAACAAAATTAACTTCTAAGACTGATAACGACAAAAACTATTTATTTACACTAACTATTAAAGAACTTAAAAACACTATTAAATTATTACTAAACTTAGGTTATGAATTATTCTATTTATTTACACTACTGTTGATATATCACTATTCACTGCTATCACTGTCAATTTATTTCTGGATTCACTTCTGCAACGGTCAATTTATTTCTCTTCCTCTCGGCGATCGTCTCTTTCTTTAAATACTCTTTTGGTTACTTTTGGGAACCTTCTGGAAACATCCGGATAGTTTATTTTTTCTTTGAACTGTTTAACTGCTTTCCCAGAAAGAAGGTACGACACATACATTTACAAATACGGCACACATGAAGAAAGGTGCCCGCGGCTAGTCGGCGAATCGATAAGCCGTTCACGCACTCCTGTCCCCTATCGCACACAAACACACTCGTGCTCGCTACAATATAATCTGATCAAACTAATTGTAAAAAACACAGTCAGCTTTAGTTGATTCTGTCTTTCTAATTGATTAATCTGTGCAGTTGTTTAATTTTTTATAGACGACAAATACTAACTGTGTGCAATCCATAGAGCTGCTGCCTTCTATAAATTTACAGTCTAGAGGGAGCGTTTTTCATTTAGAAAGTTCCACTCAGTGTATGACACTGTGCCGCACTGTGTTTTCTAAATTTGATGGATCATAACTTTTATAGATTAGAGATAATAACTTTTTAGACCATATATAGATAGACAATGCTATTTTGTTTTATTGCTATAGTTTTTTTATATCGCTATATTCTACGGTGGTATATTATGTTGACGCTGTGTGAATTACAAATTATTTATTACACTAATAACAAATAATTTAATAGCAAAAACGCTTATTGTAGCACTGATTATTATTTACGATATTTACGTATTACAGTGCGGTAGTTATACAACGTTGCAATTTATATCTCAAGCTTTTCACTATTGTCTTCCGATACGTTCTTACCTATTTTACACTTGCTTTTTTGCTCATTTCGATTACGTGGCCATTATTTGAATTGTTGTCTAAACAAGATTGGCTTGAGTGTGATCAAAATAAATAACTTTAGTTAATTTAAGTTTAATCAATAAGAAAATAACAAATCAGTATTGGTTGGAATTCAAGTTATTCAACAAATTAATTATAGAAATACTTGCGCTGCATGCATTTAAATGTAAGCATGTATTACTCTGTTGGAGTGCATGTTAGCATGCAATAATATGGTACGTTTTTATTTAGTGGAAACAAATTAATGTTAACCATGTTATAGAGACGGGAGGAAATGGGTTCTCCAAAGACATTTGTAGAAGTATGGTAGCAATGTTGGATAAAGACAAATCTGGTAAACTAGGTCTTGCGGAGTTCAAAATTTTATGGGCAGAACTAAAAGACTGGAAGGTATGGAATTTTGAAATTGATTTGCTTATAACAAATTCTTGGTATTTTCTCTTAATTTTCACAAATTTCGGTGCGTTGTATTATAAGCCTAATATTACTACCATTGTCTCGTTACTTTTTGTACTTATGCAACAAACCGCACCATTTGAGCTTCATGTAAATTAACCCTGAAGAATCTCATAACCGAGAGCGAAACGTCGGTTGTGATTTCACATTCATGATATACCTTACACCATACTTTGACTCAACTCGTTTTTTTTTTGGGAAGATGTGGCATTAAAAAGTCCATTGCAATCATCATCATCATAAGGTCATCAGTCTTAAGACTGGTTGGACACGTACCTCCACTCTTTCCTATCCTGAGCTAAACTTCGCATTTCCCTAAAACTAGAACAGCCCACATCCTTAACTATTTGCGAACAGTAATCTAATCTAGGTCTACCTCTACCCCTCCTAACTCCTGTTTCTGCCTCTAATATGTCTCTGACTAGACCTTCATGCCTGAGAAGGTGTCCTACCAACCTATCTCGCCTATTTTTTATTGACTTCCATAGAGTCCTCTGTTCTCCTATTCTTTCCAATACCTCTTCATTTCTAACCTTTTCTACCCACGATATCCTCATCATCCGCCTATAACACCACATTTCGAACGCTTCTAACCTTTTCTTTTCCGCCGCTCCCACTGTCCATGTTTCGCACCCGTACAACGCCGTGCTCCAAACATACACCTTTAACAACCTTTTTCGAATTTCTAAATTAACCGTTCGCGAGCATAGAAGTGACTTCTTTTTATTAAAGGCGACACGACCCTGCGCTATCCTCTGCTTTATATCCCTACTACTCCTTCCATCCTCACTTATCTGACTTCCTAGGTATCTAAAATCAGCCACTTCTTCTAATTTTTCGTCTCCTATCTTTATATTCGCTCTTTCCCTACTTTTTCTTCCCTTGCATATCAGTATTTTAGTTTTACTTTTATTTATTTTCATACAGTACTGATCTGTCAGTACCGCTTCCATTTTATTTAAAGCTATCTCTAGGTCCTCCTTGCTAGATGCTAATACTGCTATATCATCTGCAAATCTAAGCATACTAATCTTTTGCCCTTGCACATCTATCCCTACAGTTGTACTGTCTTTAATGATGTTGATGGCGTCTTCGATGTATAGATTAAAAAGTAGCGGTGACAGTGTGCATCCCTGCCTGACTCCCTTCCTAATATTTACTTCTCTACGTTGCATCCCCAGCTCTATAACTGCCTGTTGCTCTTTATACAAACTAAGTATCACTCTTCTATCTTTGTAATTCATCCCTACATTTTTAAGTATATTTAACATCTTGTCCCATTTAACATTGTCAAAAGCTTTCTCTAAATCTACAAATCCTATGTACGCACTCTTTCCTTTTTCTATCGTTTTCTCTATTGCTACCCGTAAAGCTAGAATGGCCTCCCGCGTTCCTCTATTTCTTCTAAACCCAAATTGATCTTCCCCTAATAGTTCTTCCGCCCTTTTTTCCATCCTCCTCTGTACAATTCTAGTTAAGATTTTTGACGCATGGGAAGTTAAGCTAATTGTTCGAAATTTCTCGCACCTATCCGCGCCCCTCTTCTTAGGTAATGTTACTACTACGTTCCGTTTATAATCCTCTGGGACTTTCCCCGTTTCGTAAATGTGACTAACTAACTTAAACATACGATCTCTAACCTCTTGTCCTGCATGTTTTAGAATTTCCCCCTGTATCCCATCTACACCTGGCGCCTTATTATTCTTTAAATTTTTTAATGCTACATCGAACTCTTCTCTCATTATGGGATAACCAAGCTCATCTATTTCCACACTATCTTCCTTCTCTAATATATCTCCTAACTCAGGGCCTGCGTAAAGGTTCTCTAAATATTCTTTCCACCTATCTGCCTTTTCCTCATTTTCTATCAACATGACCCCTGCCTCGTTTCTTATATTATTACTACTGTATCCTACATCTCTAAAATTCCTTTTAATTATATTATAAGCCTCATCGGTTTTACCTACTTCAAACTTTTCTTCTACTTCTTTACACATCCTATCAATCCACTGTTCCTTAGCTGCCCTACACTTCCTAATTATTTCCCACTTTATAGCTTTATATCTTTTTTGCCCTTCTTCGTCTGTCCTGTTTTTGTATTTCCGCCTTTCGTCTATTAATCCTACAATCTCATTTGTTATCCAAGGTTTCCTACTTTCGTTTTGTTTAAGACCTAGTACCTCTGTAGCTGCTGACTTTAGACACGTTTTAATGCAGTTCCATTCTGACTCTATGTCCCCGTCATTCGTTTCTCTCGCCGCCTGCAGTATTTCGTCTGTCCTTTTACCTAGCCTAACACGCGCTTCGTTACATTTTAGCTTTTCGAAGTCGAGACGTCTCCTACCTGCCCTCTTTTTCAGAATTTAAAGTTTAAGATTGGTCTTCATAACTACTAAATTATGATCGCTATCTATATCTGCTCCTGGATAACTCCTACAGTCCTTCACTTGATTTTTAAATCTTTGCCTGACAAGTATGTAATCTAACTGATATCTCCCTAAATCACCTGGCATCTTCCACGTATAGCGCCTCCTAGCGTGATGGTTGAATAACGTATTCGCTACGGTTAAGTTATGTTTATCGCAAAATTCTATCAGCCTATCTCCCCTATCATTTCTATTTTGTAATCCTAAAGAACCTGCTATTGCACCCACTTTACCTTCACCTATTACTGCGTTGCAATATGAAGTAAGAAAAATAGAAAAAGTTCGGTTACATAACTAGCCCAGACGAAATCTCACAGAAATGTTACTATAAAGAGCATTAAGTTTTTAGTCGATAACATGTCAAAACCACCAAATCCGGATCGTGATTTCTACATAACTTATTCATACTTATATGCGCTATTCCACTGACTTACATCATGGTGCAAAGAGATAACTACTGCTGAAGGCCCACTTCAGCCTCCTTTAGAAATTGTAGTAATGGGTGGGTGGTGATGGTTAGGAGAGAAAGACGAGACAATCGAAATAAATGGGAGTAGAAGAATGAAAGACTAGAAAAACTTGGATCAAGGCAGAATTTGGAATCAAACTGGTATCCTCTCGAATGCTATGTTATGATCAATCGGAGATAGAAGCAAAAACTTTTGAGTCTGAAGAGCGTCATGAATAAAAAAAAGTCAGAAAACGCAAGAGTCATTGCGTGTTGATCTATTTAGCGTCAGTTTTGATATTGTCTTTGTCAAACGCAAAGCTTAAACAAAATCTCTTTGTCTTCGCATCAAATCGGATGTGCACTGTGTTACTGCGCAGGGACTTGTTGAGCACAACTTGGTGACGCTCTTATACGAGGGTGGATTGATAAGTTTCCGGCCTGACCAAGAAAAACAAGGTTTTTAAAAAATTTTTTTTTTTATTTCTCAACATAATCTCCTCCAAGGCTGATACATTTCTCATAGCGGTGTTCCAGTCTATTAATGCCATCTCTATAGACTGATTCGTCAAGCTCCTCAAAATAACCATTTACAGCTTCGATTACTTCTTCATTGTCCGCAAATCTCTTACCGCCAAGCCATTTTTTGAGATTAGGGAACAGAAAATAGTCACTCGGGGCTAGGTCTGGAGAGTAAGGAGGGTGCGGCATCAATTCAAACTTTAGATCGTTGATTTTAGCCGTCGCAACGATTGACGTGTGCGCTGGTGCGTTATCGTGATGAAACAAGATTTTTTTCTTCGCCAGATGAGGTCGTTTAATTTTCACCTCGTGGCTCAAACGTTGCAATAAGTCTGCGTAGTATTGACCAGTGATAGTATTACCCTTTGCAAGGTAATCAATGTATATAATACCTCTTGCATCCCAAAAAACAGTAGCCATAACCTTGTTCGCCGAAAAAATTGTTTTTGCCTTCTTTGGAGTTGGTTCCCCTGGTCCAATCCACTGTTTAGACTGTTCTTTGGTTTCAGGAGTTTCGTCAACGGTTACGAATCGACGCAAAAATTCGCTTGGATTACGCTTATACAATGACAAATTTGCGGTAGAAATGTTTTTTCGAATCAATTTTTGGCCGACTGTTAGCAAACGCGGCACCCATCTTGCACAGAGCTTTTCCATATGCAAATGTTGGTGCAAAATATGTTGCACACGTTCATATGACATCTTACAGGTCTCAGCTATCTCACGCACTTTCAATCTGCGGTCTCCCAGCACTATTTGATGAATTTTTTCGATCATATCTGGAGTTGTGACCTCAACGGGGCGTCCTGAGCGAGGCCCATCAGAGGTGCTCACACGACCCTTTTTAAACTCGGAAACCCACTGCTTAACGGTTGAATATGACGGGGAGGATGTCCCCAGTGTTGAGTCCATCTCTTTTTTAATTTCCTTCGGCGTTAACCCCTTCAAATAAAAGTATTTGATGACAGCACGATTTTCCTGCTTTTCCATTTTTACGAAAACCACAGAGGCGTCTTGTTCAGCGTGCTGTCAAACCTACACTAGCAAGGAGATCGGGCTGAAACTATAGCTACAAGCTATCCAAGGATGGTACTATAGAATGTCACCTCAAGGTAGGCCTAGTGGCGTCATCTCTTGGTTAGGCCGGAAACTTATCAATCCACCCTCGTAGTGCGGGCCGTACATAACGAATCTATGTATATAGTTTCTACTATCTGCTCCTATTTCTAGTCTTCTTGAATCCACCATAGGTAAATTAGTATTACGTAACATTTATCCATGGTATTTTGATAAGAAATCGCGATCTTCATTTGTTAATTTGGTTTACCTTGTTGATAATAAACACTAGGAAGCTATCGGGATAAATGTATGGAGAGATACAAAAGATTAGAGTGCTTAGATTTGAGAATCATACCTACATCAGTAGCAACATCTACAAAATTCAATCCCAAGCACTAACCAAGTAAATTTCGCTGAAAGTTTCGTATTTACAGCTTTCTTAGTCATTCATTTTAACCCTCATAGTTTGTTGTTCAGTACCTCAGCATATTTGGTTTGTTAATAGGAATGGACCCGGTTGTGCAACATGTCATGTTTCAGTGACTCAAAAATAAATGATACATCACTTAAATATAAACTTATAATTATTAAAAAACTACACTGATTATAATTGTAAATATGAAAGCTGCAGTACAACCAGTCGAAGGCCCATCCTATTGATTAGTCAAATATGTTGAAGTTTTTAACAAGTGTTAAACAAGAAGAGATGCTCTAAGTGAATGGATGAAGGCGGTACAAATAATGTAGTGAAACTATTGACAAATTTTCGAAATTTTATTTGATTACAAATTGTATCAAAACTGCGGTTTAACTGCGAAAATAAAAGGTGTATGTTGGAAGCAAATTCATGTAGATAAGGATGTAAATCATGAACAATGAGGTCTGCGCAACAGATAGGTTAAAGTATTTGAGATGTGGTGTTATTGACAGATATTCCGTGGATGGAAAATTTAGAAATGGCGGGGCAGGTATTAGAAAAAGTAGGAGAACAAAGGGCGAGGGAAGTCAAGAAGGGAGAAGAAAAACATGATGATAGGACATTTACTGAGACATGTTACAGACATATTAGAAGCAGAAATGGTAATGAAAGGGGCTGATGAAGACCTAGATTAGATTACTGTTTGCAGAGTTTTGGGAATGTAGGGTTTTACAGAAAGATTGACTCTGAAAGAAAGGAGTGGAAGTGCGTAAGCAACCAAACGTATGGCCGTGTGATGATGATGAAATAGGTCCTGTCAAACACTGTAAATGATTACAACTTTTGTTCCTGCTAATTAACTTTTCAGGTCTCAGGTATCCTATCGTCCTATCTCTCCTATTGACTTCCACAGTGCTATTCTTTTTATAGAATTCTAGAACTGTAATTTTTTCCTTTTTCCTAGCGTCCATCTTCCACGTTTTGCATCCGTACAAAGCCCAGCTTCAAACATGCGCCTTTAACAATATCTATCGAATTTTTAAAGTAACTATCCGCCCAGTTTCGTTATACGATAAATACGTATAAAGATAATAATTTTATAACGAAGTTTTTGTAAAATTCAAATTTTGAGGATTCTATTATTAACATCATTAAGATTAATCGAATTCAACCAATAACCAAGAGTAAAATGCAACGTTAGGTACCTATGCTTATGCTTTTGTAGCCACTCTCAGTAGTAAGATGTGACTATCAAAAGTTGTGGTTCTGAGAAGAACCGATTATAATATCGTTGGACACATTATCTGCATCATTGATGATTGCAAGGGTTGACACTTTATCAGCATCCGAATAATAGTGAGCCTAAAATCTATTTACATGGATTAAATGGCAAAGAACATTTCAGCACTTTACATTTGTGTGTGTATTTGCCGTTGACCCAGTTAGTCGCAGTGTGTCGCGACCTAACTAAGTCAGCACAAATGTAGACGCTTAATTGATACGATGTTTTCTTGCTATACCGAGTGTTCCCACACTTTCTTTTTATGGACTTCGCATTCCTGAATTGGCTGAGTACAGTAATTATTTTCTTCTTTTAGAATGTGTTCAAACTGTATGACAAAGACAACTCTAATGCACTTTCGGGTTTTGAGCTAAGACAGGCTTTAAATTCTGCTGGCTATCGATTGAACAACCATGTTTTGAATATAATTATGCACCGATATGGTAACAAGAGGTCTGAATTGCACTTTGATGACTTCATTATGTGTGCAGTGAGGCTTAAGACGATGCTAGGTGAGTAATACGAATAATGATCACCTTATATTTTCGTTTTCTTTTCTTTTTAACAAAAATAAAGTTATTATGTACTTAATGTTTCTTAACAGATAACACGTTTGTAAATCTTTCAATACCATATCATTTCCAAAATTACTTTCCTGGGTTTATCTAACAAAATAATTCGAACTGCCAGACGCGGATCGCGATTTCGATCCCTTTGGATCTCATCAGCGCGTCGCAGGCAGCTCCGACAGAACACAGACCAACCTTTACCTGCTGTCTTAACAGCGCGTTTTAGAAAATACTACAAATGGCGTGGTGAGCGCCATCTGTAGTACGATGCTTCCGTATATTTAAATGGACCTTGCTGAAGCATACGTAATCCTAAAATGTAGCGTCGTACTACAGATGGCGCTCACCACGTCATTTGTAGTATTTTCTGGGTTTATCTATTTGGTTTTCCAAATAAGAAATGCCGATGTTTACATTTGGAAACTTGGTGTACTTTAGACGTACATAATCACCTAGTTAAGACCAGAAACCTTTTACTTTCGTTTACTTAAGTTTAGCAATAGCAGCAATCTCCGTTCGAAATTAATTTTGATTCTCTACTCAGTAGTAAGTTTATTGTATTGTGCATGAAATTTTCGAAACCAAGAATATTGAAATGTCCGAAAATGAAGATGACTTTCAACAAAATCTAAGGAATCCTATTGAATGAGACATTCGAAATGAACTCAGAAAAATACAAAAACTAAAAACCAAATATTAAAAAAAAAATATTCACAATTAACAATTTATTACCTATAATAAAACAAAATATAACTATTCAGTTACTTTTTAACTATAACCTAATACAAAATACCCTGAACGTTTGGATAAAAAAATATTGGTTGGGCCCCTTTCATCCAGATGGTCAAAGGCCACACTTCCATGACACTTGTAATAATATAGAAAAATGACCTTCACACAAAACTGTATGCATTTATTTTTAATATATTCTAGTACACTTAGTACAACACCATGAGCCATCGAATGAGATAAGTTACAATTAATTAATAGTCCAATCAATAGAGGTAAGGGGTCCCCAAAAATGCTAACATCTAACAAAAAATATAGTCGTATAGAACTAAAAATTCTAAGTTCTAAAATCCGCCATGCCTGGTATATTCAAAAAGAGAAGAAAAACAGTTTTGCAAATAAAAAAAAACTCCTGGAGGAAAAAGTTAAATGAGAATGTTGTAGATATTAAAAAGATCTATCGATCGGTTTTTTTTTGCTATCGATCAGTGCATTGCTTTTGGAGATATATCAAAAAAAAAGTCGAATATCGACTTTTTTGTTTTATTTAACTTTTTTACTCGCTGTAAAGGTAGCACTTGGCAAGCCAAAGTGTTTTTTTTAGAAATAAAAAAATTTTTTGAGATGTATCGATTTTTCTAAAAAAAAAGGGTGCTCGCGGAAAATCTGACAAAAACCATTTTGTGCTTATTTGTTCCTTTAAGAGTTGTACTTTCACAGTAGAAAAAACAATAGCAAGGGGGCGCTATTTCAATTTTCAAAATTCAAAATTATCCAAATTCATTTTCGGACTCTTTTTTTGACTTGCCAAGGGCTACATTTACAGCGAGTGAAAAGCGTTAAACTAACAAAACTACAGCGAAAACAAAACAATTTTTGACGGTTTTCTCAATATATCTTGAAAAGTAATGCACTGATCGATAGCAAAAAAATAGATCGATAGCAAAAAAAATAGATCGATAGATCTTTTTAATACCTACAACTTTCTCATTTAACTCTTTCCTCTAGTTTTATTATTTATTTTATTTGCAAAAAACTTTTTTCGAATTTTTTTAAATATCCCAGACATCGCGGATCCATTAAAAAAAAAAAACGCTGTTTCTTAGCATTTTTAGTTGTGTACTACCATATTTTTTGTGTCCTGTTAGCATTTTCGGGAAATTTAATATTAAACCGTTCTCTACTGATTGGACTATAAGGGGTCTTACCCTTTATGTGCATACTTTTACTTATTAGAACAATTTTTAAATAATGATTGTGAATTAATATTTTCCTTTTTGATAATTATCCATTTAAACATTAGTTTTGCTATTACAGATAAATTCAAGGAGAAAGACTCGAGCGACTCAGGCTCTGCAACTTTTTCGTTGGAAGAATGGGTAGAAACTACCATATATTCGTAATGATAACTGCCACCTTTAAGTATCTAACAATCGTTTTGTCATGCAACAAGTTTAAAAGTGCTCTTTCACGTCTACCTATATACATCTATTTTCTATTTCAATTATTAACTATTCAAATGCCAAAGTTTAATTGTGAAAATGTTATCGAATAATTATTATATATATGATACTTATAGCTTTTTATATGCGCATATTGTCCTCAAATTGATGGAATAAAATGTTGTAATCTCATACTTTGTTGTATTATTTGTTCACATTTAAAATAAAAAGAAGTGAATACTCTCTATAGAGAAGCCTTTTTTAACAAAAAAACTTTAATATCAATTTAAAATTCTTTTAATTTTCGTCCACTACATTTTAACTCATATTAATCGGGCTTCGAACCCGGGACCTTTGACTTTCAACAACAATACTCTGATCATTAAGCTACAAGAGGCGACAGCAGTAATAATGTTAAATATTAACCACTACTAAAAGGTTCTCAAAGTATTTCGTATCAAAAAAACCTTGTTAAAAAAACTTTATTTGAGAGCCCGGTTCTGCTATTTTTTAATTTTCATTCACTACAAATTAACTCAGATTAATAAGGAAATATTGTTGCGGCTTGCTGTTACAACTCTTGTCGGGCTTCGAACCCGGGACCTTTGGCTTTCCACACGAATACTCTGATCATAAAGCTACGAGAGATGAGAATAGCAATGATGTTAAATATTAACCACTACTAAAAGGTTCTTAAAGTATTTCATATCAAAAAAACCTTGTTAAAAAAAAACTTTATTTAAGAGCCCGGTTCTGCTATTTTTTAATTTTCATTCACTACAAATTAACTCAAATTAATGAGGAAATATTATTGCTGCCTGCTGTTACAGTCTTGCCGGGCTTCGAACCCTTGACCTTTGACTTTCAACACCAATACACTGATCTTTAAGCTACGAGAGGCGACAGCAGTAAAAATGTTAAATATTAACCACTACTAAAAGATTCTCAAACTATTTAATATGAAAATAATCTTGTTTAACAAAAACTTTAACTGAGCTTGCTTCGGCTCTTTTTTAATTCATACTATTTGCTATTCCTAAGTGCGGAGCTTTGGAGGGTATGAACTGTATGCAATAAGGAGTCGCATGGTGAGTACAGCAGTGTACTTAAAGATTAAAAACTTTTTCGAGAAAATCAATAATATACAATCCAAAGCCGGTACTGCTCGAGAACTGGCAACGTGGATATGTATCTACCTACAGGAAACTCTATAAAACCCAGCAGCTACATCAATGGAGAATGCAGCATTATTTACATAAATTATACTTCAAAACGTATTAAAAACACAAAAGAAAGGAAAAACATTAAGTTATGTAAAAATTAACAAATAAATATCATATGTATAAGAATTTTTTTGTAATTTTTTTTTTTATCTAACACACTAGCTGTATGCTACAATAAAGGTATTATTATTATTATTATTCATGATCCAACACTCAAGTGTCTTACTCGACACCTGTATTCAACACATAAGTTTATATCTTGTACCTACTATATGTACCTATATAATATGTTTAGAAGTTAAAATTTTGAAAGTTAAATATAGTGTTTAACAAGTTCAGTGTTTTCACTAAAATCCACCCAGAATATACTGGACAACGGTCTGGTCGTCANTTTTTTTTTTTCAATTTAATTGGATGCATTTTTTGTATGTTAAATCTGAAACACTAATTAAAAAGTGAATAAGAAACACTAATTAAAAGTTAAATAAGATTTCATTGGTAATGATATATAAAAGGTATTTTTATATCCTGAATCAAATTCTGTTTTTGTGATAAAATAATAATGGCTTTTTGTCGATTTAAAAACTGCATTATCAAAGCACTCGGTAATAAAGTCCCACGTAAAATTTATACAAATGAATACAAAAAGATATATTATTGCTGCGTTTGGGTGGAACATTTCAAGCGGTAAATTAAGGAAACGAAAACATATTATGTCCTTATCGCATTAAAATCGGTTTGTTTTTTTGCTCCCGGTAGCTTTACGACTTTGAAAACGTTTGTTCTTTTTTTATCTGATATATGATATACATATGTTGACGTGTTAAATAGCAAAAAATGTAAATGATGTATGGCACTCCGTTATATAAAACATTATTTAAATATCTTTATCAATAGGGTAGGTTAGGTTAGATTAGGTTAGGTTATCGGGTTTTGTTTAAGTGACCACCTTCCTTCGATCCCCCACCTCCACTTGAAAATATTTTTTTTATTGAATTTAATTTGAATTATTATAGTGTATGAAGATTGTCAAAATAATAAACTTTCAACCCCCATCACTTTTTATGGGGGTGAGACCGCCACGAATTTTTTATGGTACAGTGGTGGAGGAGACCTCCTCTTCCGATTCCACCCACTCCCGCCCCCGAAGGGGGTTGGGCCATCATCTAGACATTTACCATATGAAAATTCATGGCAATCAAATCAAATGAATTAAAATCAGAGTACACAAAAATAAATACCAAGAACACATAAAACTACATAAAAAACCCATATCCAACATGAAACAAGTACTAAAACATTTTGTGAATACTCCCAGATTTATTATCCTGCACGGGAGAAAATGTTAGTCTGATTCATAGACTATTCACACCTGTGAAGATGGTAGTTATCCACTCCTGTCTACAGCACGCATGACGTTAGAACTTGTACACGCTAAAGATTGTAATTTAATATACAAAAATCAAAGTATTTGAAACAAGTAATACTACAAATTAGCTGATTGAAAGAACATTTTCAAATATACAATTTTTGAGCAGTATACCCTGTTTGCAAAATGGAAAACACATTACACAATATTGAAATTTACATGAACATAATAACTCTGTAATGTTTCAAAAGTATTTATACAAAGCTCTAATATTGTTTCGACATATTTATTCAAGATTTTTCATGAGTTCATCAGAATCACATTCTGCCCGGCGCATTCACCAAACTTTTATCGCCTATGCGCCATTTAATAGAAAAAATTTCAACAGGAAAAAACAAAAGGTTCTTTTTCTTTTAAATAAATTTTTATTACGTCACAACATGATAAAAATGAATTAAAATTATGTAGTGATATAAAAAAACATGAGAAAGAATTTGAGTTTTATTCAATTATTATTATGCCCCGTAGCATATTGTATACTTTAGTAATACTTCATCCTATAAAATGTATTCACGTATAGTAAAAACGATATTAAAATTTTACTTCAAAATAATCGTATTATTGGATTAAAATTATGTACATTTTTCTTATGTGCACAATTTCACCTAATTACCAATTTACCCAACGTGGTTAATTTTTTTCCAATATCAAATAGTACCTATACAGACATTTTCACGTAGGTAACCCGTTTATTAAGAGATTTTAAACTTAAAGCACTAGTCGAGATTTAACCAAATATTTGAAATACTTGCATCTAAAATGCAAATACAAAATAAAAAATACTTATTTTTATCTTGCATTTAAATACTTTTTTGAGAAAAGCATTTTGTATTTTATTTAAAATACTTTTCCAGACGTATTTTCTATTTGCCAAGTGCAAAACACATTTTTGCCGTTAAAAGTTTTGCTATCACCGATCAAACATTATATAAAATGATGAATGAAAGTTGCTCACATTGACTATAAAGATGGGACAAAGTGCCTTCTAATTGTTTAACTGAAAAGAGCTCAAAAGATTCTAAATTCCTTGGAAATGGATAATCTAAAATATTGGATCGATATTGTTTTCCGGATTCAGTGTCATGGTCCATTGAATTTTGAAGTTTCAAATTAAAATCAGCACCTGAAAAATCAACACTTATCGTACCTTTAGCAAAGAACTACGAAATTCTGTGAATTACGACAAAACAGTCCGCAAAACAATATCGAATATACGCCGGGTGTGTAAAACTAAAAACTACAAGATATTGTAGTGTGCTAATAAATGCGTACAATCCAAAATTCTTAGAAAACGATTCGAAAACTTCATTTGTTAGATGAACCCAAAACTATGGATTCCATGTCTTTCTCTTATTATAATGTGTAAAACATCAGAAACAAAATGGAGTTGTAAACATTTTGATATAACATGATTGATGTTGATTTTACATCAATAAAATTATTTGCAACCTTATCATAAAGATCAGAGCCAAAGATCTTACACGCTAAACAAACTATTTTGGCATCAGTGTCTTTTTTCCAATTAAAACGGGTGACAAAGGTAAATAAGGAAGTATATAGAAGAATTATTTGTTGCTGAACTGAAGAAACTATAACATGAAGACAGAAAAACTATATCTCAATCACTTTAAACAGAAAAATATTAATCATACTCAATCTTCGTAGCTGGTGACATAATGCAAACACCACTATAAGCCTAGAAAAACTCCAGTACCTAAAAAGTGACAAAATGCCTGCAACGTTTTTTCAAAAATTATTTTGTACTTAAGTGAATGTAGAAAAATAAATAAAAAGGTACTACAACAAATTATTTATTTGAAACAAGTATTTCGAAAATACGTATTTTACATTTGAAATAACAAATCAAAAAAGTATTTACATTTTGTATTTAAATACTTTTAAAAAACCATTTTGCTCATCATCATCTCTCTCAAATTGCTTACTTTTTGAAAAATTAAATAATTTTGTTGTTCAAGGAAAACATTCACATTCTATCTATCTATCTATCTTGTGCAAAGTGGTGTAGTTTTGTTGTACATTCCATGTAGTAATTTTTATTTTTATGTTGATTGTGCAGTGTTTAAAGTATCTACTTCGTCTATTTTTAACAATAATAAACAAGGAAATTTTTATTATTAGTTAAAAAGTAATTAAATTCTCAGTATGTAACATCAGAAATTTAATAAATTCATTCAGTATATTCATTAAATGATTGCATTTCGTCGAAAACCCGACATTATCAGATGGAATGTGCAGTTAATTTTTTAACAACGACACAATTTTGTGTGATTTATTAAAGGTACACTTATTTAAATATTTATCTGAATATCTCTGATTAATTAAGTATATTTTTAATCCAAATCATTTTAGTGACTGTTCCTCATAATTTTTTATTTGCATGTCAAGAACCGGAATAAAAAATGCGGACACATAAAAAACAAAGGAACATCTTTAATTCCACCGTAACTGAGTAATTTAATCAGTCGGTGAAATCACCCTTTGGCTTTTCGGCTTAAAAAAAAAGTGAGTTATCGTTCACCCT